TTTTTCCCTAAAAGGCAAGTATGGACAATGATTAACCCCTGAACGACAAAAATCTCGGTGGGAAGGGCGCAGAGTTCGTTACCTGAACCTCGCGTCAGCTAACGGCCCCTCTCACCACTTCCTCATTCTCGTTAGGGTAATGGACCTGATCCAAGAAATTCAGTAATAACAATACCCCTTTACCTATTGGTTATCATAATTCGGACCTCTTACCTACTAAGAGTTTGAAGATGTCTATAAGTGGTGTCGGTTTCTGAAGAGTGCCACTTTTGAAAAGCCTCCATTACGCATGGATTCCCTTGGTATCGGATAATTACGCAGTTTTGGAACACCAGTGGGTACGTTCAAAGATAAGCCGTCGGTAAGACTACAATCGCATCTGTCGGCCATGGGACAGGTACGGACAAAGACGGAAGCAATGGTCGAATAGCGTGTGACTAAGGAGATGCAGAAACGAGTCGTTCGGCCTTGGTCGGTTGACACGACGGGAAGTCTCCAGCGTCATCAATTCGCTACCCACCAACCTCAGTCAGCCGTCGGCCAACGTGGCCATTTCAAATCGACGATGTTTAGATTTCAAGGTCCCGTGGAATTGCTGTCATTCCTGTACTTCCCGGCGGGGCCGTTGCACATTCTGATCCCATACCGGATAGCAGTAAGGGAAACCGATCCGTCTACTTCGTCACCAAAGGTCGTCTCTTCGCTCTACGCTCCATTCTCATCGCCACTTTCAATTTCAAATTTCACACTCCCACATTCCCACGCTGGCGCTCACTGGTAGCGTCTTGATGAATCGGTCGTTCCATCTTAAATTCCACCACAGTAAGCTCATGGCCGTTCCATGCGGGAGTTCCCTAATTGTGATTAACTACCCCTTTTTGTGAGATTACGGTACAGTTCACATTGTTCACTAACTTCACCCAGTTGTTTGGATTTCTCTCTCTTCGTACTTTTTACCGAAAAATATTGGTCCCGAAAAGGATTGGTGCTCTATACATCATTTCATTTCTTCAGGTTACCCAGGGGCTTCTAATTTTCCCCCGAAAAATTGGGATACCTCTAGTTTCCTTTCTAGGTCAACCCCACTCGTCGTTTTTTCGCCTTAATCGCGAACGGCATACTGTTGTCATAGTCAGAACCAAAATCTGTAGTATGCTAATTACAGCGCTGTAGACGACCCTACCGTTGTGGCCGTAATTACAGTAACCGAAATGAATCGATCGGCCTCGGCCTTACCCCTTTATCTACCTGCGAAATCGCCCTGGCCCCCACCAACCCCCCAACGAACCACCCAAGTGCGCTTGACATGTTCCTAATCCGTCCTCTGGATGACCTGCCCTAGTCGATCGTCAACCAACGACTGTGTGCGGCTTATCCAGCTGATCCCTTTAGTGGAGTAGGTGGAGCTCGATTTTGCGCCTGAATAGAATCGGGAACTCGTCACGTTCTTCTGTGATTGTTCCTTCTCGTCGGAGGGCGAACCCGATCTCTTTCCTTTCAGTCTGTCACTCATCGTTTACGCCAAAGGGGTAAACAGGATTTGAACGCATTGGTTTCGAACGACTGTCGTTGAATGGCCGTCGTTTTTCGTTGCCAGGCATCATTCTGTAGTCAATCTCTTCTTAAACCTCTAATAAGAATGTTGTTACAAACACCAATCCGGTTCGTCGTCGTCGGCTTTCTTTCCACTGCAATACGTTGCTCATTTACGTATAACATCGATCCAGCAGTAAAAGTAACCCCCTGTTTCAATGCCGACAGTTACTAGTTCGTCCGTTCTGTTCCGTTTCACGCTGATCTCCCATCAATGATGGGTTTAGTTGCGTTTGTTTCTCATCTAAACTTTGACCATCCTTTCCTCTTCTTTATCTAGCATGATCTCTGATTTGGTCATTTTAATTTTTACTTGTTTTGAAATTTCACTAGATTTTTTTGACTGGTATGTGCCGCCTCAGTCTGCTACCTAAAGGGGGTCGTGTTGAGGTCAAAATGAAACGCTCAGTCGGGGGTCAGAACCTGGCTTGTTCTTCTCACATGTGCGGTTATCTCAAACATCACCGAGCTCGTACGAAACGAAGTTAAAGTATTTGTTGACATATTTTTTGCAATTTTTGCATTTTTCCAATATTTATGACTGTTAGAAAGTTTTCATATAGGCTGATTGAACTTAATAAGCATTTGAAAATTCTAAAGAAAAAGCCAGGAAGGCCGACCATTTTAGGATTCCTTTGTTTTTGGGAAGTTGGAATTTTAAATTTTGAAAAAAAAAACATTCGCCAAGATCAAAGGAGTCCCACCAGCCAACAACACCCTTCAGTGGAATCCAACTTTCAGATGAAGGTTCAAAAAAGGATAATTTCCTGGTCAGCTGCCAAAAAAACTTTTCGGCTAGATCGACCAAATTGATACTGCGCGTTCAGTAGCGAACAGGCCTATTAAGTCCTTTCGGTGAAATTCCCTTCCTAGGAATTAAGTTAAGAACAGAGGTTTATAGGAAACGAATAAAAACAAGGGAAATGATCTCAGAGTTGGATGGGGAGTCATTCTACTAATCACCGTTATGCCCTAGTGTTCAAACCGGAAAAGCTCTTCTGTTTCGAAGTTAATGGACTGAAAACTAGTTTTGTGCTAAAGTGTATAATCGCAACGTCGAGACTGTTCAATTTCTGGACACTTTGAATGGGGTCTGGTTTGACGTATGGCTGACTTTTTACTACACTCAATTATCTGCTTATGCTATACAATCCCTTTATCTTTAAAAAAAGGAACGACCTCAGTATACGGGATATTTCTGATTTTCCTTCGTAATCAGAAGAATTTCGTCCCGGCCTGACAACTTCAAGAGCCACCCTGTGGACCGGTTGTTACTGAAGTCCCGTTCGCGATAGAACTTTTCAATTGTGGTTCCTTCTATGCTTCTTAGTGGGTATCCACACCCTTTGGACGAGTTTTCCGCAGCACCATGTTTACATGGAGCTTGATAAATTGGTGACGGTAGTCGAAAAAGAGCATTTTGACGTCTTTTTTTAAGAGTTTTTACAACG